GTCGATGGGTCAGAGCAGAGGGGGGGCTGAGCACCAGGACTCCTGGGTTCCATCCCTAGCAAGGTACCTACCTGGGGGGGGTGGCGGGGGGCCGGCGAGGTGAGGGGGAGGAGGAGGAGAAAGAGCAGGGTGGAGTAAGGCTCCATGTTACCCGTGTGTGCGATAGGCCCCAATCTGGGGTGTCGAGTCCTGGAGTGTCCCTGCGTGTGGTGGGGGCTCGGCGCAGTGTCTGGGTTCCTCTGCTTTCTCCTCTACCCCAGCCTGACTCTATAAAGGGCCTCAAGGTGGTGACGTTCCCATGATCCCCCCCCTCCTAGATGTATCACCCAGGGCAACAGATCCCTGCCCCCGCTGGGGCAGGAAGGGGTGGTAGCAAGGGGGGATGCAATGGGGGGCCATTGTGTGGGTTGTCGGGGTGATGAGTTACTGGAAGCAGAAGGGAGTCTGTAAATGGATGCTCTTCACTCCTGACCTGCAGCCCGTGCCAGCCCAGCCCTGGGCTCCCCCAGCCCTGCTGGTGCCCCTCATTGCTGAACCACAGATCCTGCCCTGCCCCTCCCCTGCCCTGTCGGTGCCCCTCACTCCCAACCTGCAGCCCCTGCCAGCCTGGCCCTGGGCTCCTCTCCTTTGTATTATTACATTCCCATCTCATGCCCTAGCCAAAGCAGTTTCATGTATTTCTCCAGAGCCCCAGGGTCCTCACACCCCCTTCCAGGCCTCACAGAATCCATCACACAGGGTAACCTGGAGGGGGCTGGGAAACATCCGGGGAGAACAGGGCCAGCCCCGGGAATTCAGCAGCAGGTTGCCCCAGAGACCAGGCAGCCACCCAGGGGGAATGCAGCTTCCAGCTGCTATGGGCTGGGTGGGAACCAGGCTGACTCGGGGAAGGGAGACAGGCAGGGGTTAAGGGCCTGTCCCCTCAAGGAGGCGCCAGCCTCTAACCAGGCTGGGAGTTTGAGACAGGAAGTGGCTCTGGGAGTCATCCCAAAATCCTGCCCTCCCCAGCTGTTAATTAACGGCCTAATCCCTGGATTAAGGAGCACAGGGGGCTAATTAAGACACAGGGGGATTAGGGCCCATTGAGCCAGGCCCAGGCCTGATGGCCCAGCGTGGGATGAGCCAGGCCATTGTGTGCAGTGCAGTGCAGTGCAGTG